GCTAGAGCCATGGTATGTGGGGGGGGGGGGGGACACACACATACGGACCCTGGAACTTTACCCATACTAAAGAAACATTTGCAGCTTTTTTTCTACAATCTCTGTTTAAAGATATGCCCCTGTAAAGCTTTATATTATTGTTGACACCCACAGTTACTGAAATGGTCCTGCTTTTGGCCACAGTTTAATATTAAAAGAGAGCTCCCAGTATAACCATTGTTCAGACACATGATCCCTGTTAATGCCGAGGTGACACCCATATTAGTGCCTGTCAAGAAGCCAAGGACAGAGCCATAATCTACCACTCCATAGTCTGACTTCCTCCTGTCTTGAGTTTGGACCCAGTTGCTGGGCTCAGCTCTCACAATGGCACCACCTAGGTTCTCCATCCTCCTCCTGCTCTGAGTGTGCTGTGATCCTACACTTGCTGACCAAAATGGCTTTCACTGCAGTGCTCCTTACAGGCTCTAGTATGAGGGCCAGTCTAATTCAAAGCACACCAAAGTGTACCTGTAGTATTAGTCTGATACTTCATTGTTTCTGGAAGGTTTCTTGACAAAAGCCTGATTAATCTGAGAGAGTGCTTCTAGTGCAGTATCTGCAGAAGATGCTGAAAAGAAAATAAAAATTTATAGTTACAGGTAAGAAAATTCCAATTGTTTTTATATTCCTTAAGTAAATATGTCTACAGGATGTCTCTCTTTGGAGAGACAATATAAACAGTAAAGCAGCTGCTTTCTTCTTTGTATGGAGAATAAGGACCAGAGGAATTGTGCTGGTAGTTAACTATACAAAATATTAGTGCCACAAAAGGGTAAACCACTGATAAAGGAAAAGTGACAGAGAACACTCGGAGACATATGCAAAACCAGGTCAGCCCTGAGCTGGGAGGCAAAGTGAGGCAAACACCTACAAGAAAACTCTTAACCCTTTCTCAAACTCAAGCATTACTGAAAGAAGCTGGGTATTATTGTCCTTGGATGATATGAAAATACCACAAGTAAACAAATAGTGTGAAAACTGTTTCTACTTTAGTGCAGGGTTAAAAAATTATAGTTTTCTTCTGTTTAAGAAGGCTTATACATAAAATGTCCACAGCTATAAAGAAAAATGCAATGGGGACTAACAAGACTGTTGTGCAGAGTGCTCTGGATGGTGGAAAAAAAAAGTTAGTGAAGAAAGAGAGGAACTGCAATTTTTAAAGAGTTTGTTGTTTTGTTTTGTTTTGTTTTGTTTTGTTTTTCCCCTGGTAAAATTTAGCATTAGGGACACTTTATCTTGGATGGAAACCAGTCTGATGAAGCTGGTTTGTGGCTTATGATAACCAGAGCTCCTCAAAAAGTGACCAAGCCACACTTTGCCTCCAGACATTCCCAGCCTCCCCCTCTTGGCAAGGCTCTCAGGTGGCACTGAAAAAAAAACATCAACGAGCACCTCTCAGTATCGTCCTGGGTTTAGATCAGCTCACCCTTTGGAAATGACCTGAGGATGTTACTGATTTTATTATCAACTGAAATGAAATTGTGTTTGATTTTAATATAAGTGTAGAATTAAGGGATATTTTAGTAAAAATCATTTTACATTTACTGTATTTTGAATCTAGCAACTGACTGCTACTCTAAAATCCCTGTACAGCCCCGTACCAAGGCTGAAGGGATTGGTCATAATTGTTTAGTAGGAATGGTTAGAACCTAGGTAACAAAACACGAAGTAATCTGTAAACTGATTTATAATACATGTATAGGACTAGAAGAATGCAAATAGATGTCAAGGTCCAGGATTAATGGGAACTGAGGGCAGTAACCGTAACAGCTTGCAGGTACCTGCCAAGAAAACTGTGTCCTTAAGCAAAAGGTAATTCCGGCAGGGGGAGATCGCGACCACCGACTCATGGACCACCTACTCACATTACACCCCAGACCCATTTCTAGACATTTCTAACCTTTACTGTGCAGATTCGGAAATAGGAGGAGAATATGTTAATGATTTCTTGGAGATTGTATGTTTATGTATGGGTACTTAATGAATATGTATAAGTTCTATATAAGGTGTATGATTCTGGTGCCTGGCACGTGTTGTTGGTGAGAGCACTCCCCCACACGTCCAGCCATCAATAAAGAAGTGTCTGCTTATCTGCATCAAATTGGTGTCGGTAAGTTATTTTTATCCCGGATTTTGATGACAAGGAGATGCCAAGCGATACTTTGTCCATGATCTTTGCCTACCTGAGCGCAGAGATCACTCACGAGCAGCTATCCAATCCTCACAAAAAAAACCCCCAAAAAACCAAAAAAAACCAACCCAAAACCCAACAACTGGCTGTAGTGAAATGGCAATGGGCTCTTCTCACCAAAGTGCCTTAGATTTCAGCCAGCAACACCTGGTACCCACCAAGTCCTCCAAGGTGAAAGGGTGGCATCAACCTGGCTTGTCCATGGGGAGCTGAGGCACAAGCAAGTCCTGATGAAAAAGATCTGTTTGTCTGGATGCTGTGTTTTCCATCTCCAAGGATGAGGTATTTGGGTTTCAAATGGTTTTGGAGTGGGGTTTTTTCCTGACTATGGAGCTTAAGGCTGCGTTGTGGAAGTTCAGAGCACAGATATCACTGTCTGGCACATGTAGAAAAAAAGATAAACTCTTTTGCCCAGTTTTGCCACAAATGCAGGTTTGTGACATGATAAAATTTCACCTGGGCTCCCCTGTAATCTAGGAGGATTTAATAATCCTTCTTTACTTTTGATCCTTGTTTTCCTACAAGGCCCATTTTGCAGATCAGGGCTGAATTATCTTACTATATACATTCTAAGAAATTTTGGATTACCCATCCCCCAGTACTGGGCACAGAGAGACTCTTCCCCCTGTCACAGTTCATCTGAGGGTACCCAGAATTAAGTCTGATGTGGCCATCTACTTGCAGGGCTGATACTCTTCTCTTTCTCGTTTTACAGTAGTAGGATTCTGCTGACAACACAAATTTGATTCAGATTTCCAGCATGAGGGGGGACCCGCAGCCAGGTTCAAGAGTCCCAGCCCACCTAACAGTGATGCAACATGGGGCGAGTTTTCTGGCTTTCTCCTGGTGTCCTGGAGGCAGGAGCAAGCCTCTTCAGTAACCTCTCTGCAGATGCCGTGGCTTCTCTCCACTGCTCTGCCACACTGCAGGACCTCTACAGCCACAGAGGTGACTGAGTGGCTTTTTCTAATCAGTGCTTTTTACCAAGCTGACCACAATAATCTTGCCTTTCCCAGAACCCACCAACTTTCTCTAGCCAACAAACTAGTTTGCCAGCTCCCTATTGCCTCATTACATCTGAACATTGTCCCAAAACATCTTTGTTTCTGTCCTCTGCTTGCCCTGCCTCTTAAGGATAATAATACCATTTATCTGATAATGACTACAACAAAAAGCTTGCTGGAATTACTATATATGTGTACTAGGCCAAATGCAACCCTGGCAAACTTCTATTGAAATTTATGTAGTTGTGCTATAGGTGCATTTGTTTCATTTTCTTCATTGCTCTGCCAGCAACCATTGTATGATAAGCTCTGGTATGTGGAAGGTGAAAAAAAAGGGCATCAGGAAAAACAAAGTGGTTTTGTCATCTGAGGAACAGGCTTTTGTCTGGCAGTGCAAAGACCTGTGTACTTCAGTACATAGTCTTGTTTGACCTGTGAGCTTTCTTCATTTTTCAGGAAAATAAAAAAAAAAAACAAAAAACAGTCAGTGAAATACAAGAATAACAATTGATGAAACCTTGTTCTATCACTTTGCACTGTTGTTTGCCTTTTATTATTTCTAAGAGATACTCTATCTGTGTCATAATCAGACCACAAAGAAAGCACCAATTAATAATGCTACCACTACTACTATCATAGCTCTTTCATAGTTTTTTCATTTTAGTTTTTATGAGTCAGTGCAAGTCTGTGAGAGAGAACAATGAAGTTAAAAAGCCATCCCTGCTTTGGAGACTATCCACAACTTAATGCTCTCCTTGGCTGACATGTTGGCTCCTGCAGCCCAGCAGCAAATCTATTTTCAGTTAGCGTTGGTAATGTATTTTGAAATACCCTATTTCTGAAAGCTACGGGTTTCCTACTCCTTTAAAAAGCCTAGTGATTCCATGAGCAAGTGCTACCTCCCATGTCATGAGTTCTCACATAGCCATTTTGCTTAGAGTAGGCAAGGAGTAATTTGAACTGTAAAGTGCTTCAAGGATATAAATCTGTTTGGGACCTGCAGTAGTTTTTACATAGTTTTTATGTAGGGTTTTTTTGGGTGAGTGATTACAGGCCTGTAACAAAGGAATTAACCTCATCCATGTCTAAATTCTGGGGTACTGATTCTTTTGCTTTTGAAACATGCCCTAAGAAAACCCTCAATGAGTTTCCCTCAGGGCGATTTTCCCCACTTAAAAACCAATTGCTGCCCAGCATCACTGATGGGCATTGAGCATAGCCTTGCCTGTGTTGTATCACCTGGGCAATCAATCAAATGATTCACACTGGTGGGTGTGGTGGATGTCTCTAATAGTCCAGGAGGGACCTCCTACCCCTGTTTGATTAGAGATTATGTTGGTTTAGTAAAAGTGTTGAATGAGTTTACGATGTTGTGAGAAGTTATGAGGCTCTTGGAGGAGAGTTGACAGTGCTTGAAGACATATGTCAAAAACTGAGCAAATGCTTAGTGAGGGGCTTTGACCTAAGGGAAGCCTCCAAGGAAACTACCTTGTTTTCTTGGAGATGGGAGAGCTGAAGTGAATGTAAAGAATAGATGTAATAATGTGCTTCTGGACGGTAAGAAAGGTTGAAAACTTATATTGTGCCATATAACTATAGCAGATACTGTGCATGGACTGCTAGCCAAAAGCTTTTGAACATAGTTCATTGCTATTTTCCTTAACACCAAAAAATCCTATATTCACCATGGGACAAGAATCTGCGTGTTATCATGGGATAACTGAAGGTCATTAATTTGACAGCATATGTATTTCCTAGAAACTTATTTGAGTGCATGTAACTAGGCAAGGTCCATTTCTTAGTTTGTATCAGTGTCTGCCTTTTTGGCTTTCCTGAAGAAGGACAGGTAGGGATACAAGTAGCTGTCAGAGGGAAAAGCTGAGGGGAAGATAGGATTTAAAAAACTCTAGCAGTCTAGTTGTCCTCATACTGACTTTTGCACTGAACAGACACATCATCAAAATGGACTTGCTCCCTTTAACAAAGCTATCTGATTTTCAGGATCAGCCTTTGGTATAAGGACCATATTTTTTGCAAACCCTTATCTTGACAAGGGACGTCTTGGGTCTGGGAGCACCACCTGTGGCTCTGGAAGCCTGAATGTTCTGAGGCAGTGTCCAGGGGTAACACCTCAGCTCTCTGCTCCCCTTAACAGATATTATTGTGACACCCTGTTCAGTCTTTTTATGAAGCTTGATTTAGTCTAGAGCCTGTACAGGACTCTAGTGACCAATTGCTTGTCATGCCTGTTTCTGGAGGACTGTCTTGTCTTACTTATACTAGATTTCCTTCCATGTCTGGAATGGAGTAATACAAGCTATTTCTGTTAGGTCTTAGAAACTGTACCCAGATGAAAGGCGTGAGTTTACTGGGCACCACTAGATGGTGCCTCCTGATCGCTATTCCTGGGAAATAGCGGTGCTCATCCAGGAAAACAAAAAGCAGGGAAGGCGAGGGGTGATGGGTCTTGCAGCCATTGGTGGGGGCAGCACGGCTGGGAGCCTCCGGAGGGTGCGCGGGCAGGCAGGGACCCGCACACGGGGGTGCAGAGCTGCTTCTCAGCCACGCCGGTGAAAGTGGGTGTGTTTTTCTTTTAAAGACACTGAACTATGGAAGTGTTAATCTCTGTGTTATGTGAGCTCACACCAGTAAGCAAAGATGCTGTAGAGGAAAGAGATAAATTTTGATTCTGTGAAGCTGTGGATTCTTTCCTTTCAGCATAGAAGGAAATTCAGTAGCTTATACTTCCAATAAATCTATGCAATTACGTGAATATCAGGTGCAGAAGTGATCCCTGGATCCTGTGGCCTGTTAGTGCTCTGAAGGGCTTATGTTATTCAATTAGTAAAACAAGTGTGGAGGAAAAACATCTAAAAGGGGCTGGGGTTCAGATATGTTTAAAGTAGCAATATTAGCTAAAACAAAGCAAGCAAAAAATTAGGAGTATCCCCTCCATAATAAAAATAAAATAATTTGACTGCTGAGCATCTTAAACATCATCATACATACTTTTAAATTTTAAAAATTTATTTATTTCCTGCAACCATAATCTTCACTTATGTCATTTTTAAAAAAAAAAAAAAAAAAAAAAAAAGAAAAAAAAAAGCCCATGACTCTTCTTTTGTTAAATAATAAATATGAGGTCAGATTATCCCATATTTGTGGCTTAGTTGCCTGTTAGAAGTTTGGCCTTCTGGATGCATTTGAGTATGCAGAGTGGCTACTACTGAAGACAACTATATCTAATGATACAGATGCAAGAGACTAACTCACATGTAGATTTGCCGGAAGGGCCATGATGAGTTCACTTTTCTATTGTCACCTCCCCCTGGTCCTCTGTTGCAGCATTGCTCCCATTGTTTTCGGTGGAGGAGGAAGTAGGGGGTGGATGAGGGTGCAAGAGAGGAAGAGCTTCATTGCCATCTGCTTTGCTGTTCACAGTCAGGTCTGTGCCTGCCTGAGAACTGGTGTATTGTCAGAAATCCCACTCTGAGAGGGTTCTTCTGAAATGCTCAGGGACTGATTCTTGCTTGTGTAAGTCTGGGGTTACCTACATCAGTGAGTTTATTCAAGAACTATGAATAAAGTCAGACTGGTGTCGGTCACTTGTCTGAATGACAGGTACATCTGCAAAACAGATAATATATGACTGTGTTCTCACTGCACCAGGGTTCAGCTCTGTTCTTTATCTTGACTTATTTTTTTCTCTCCCTTTTCCTCTTACTCCAGTGCTTACTCTTCTGCTATAGTAATCATACTGTTAAAATAAGAATGCTTTCTGCTAGGGGGATGAAGTCCTTGGTTCCAAGATGCATCATTCTCTGCTGCTGTGTTTCAGTACTGTGGTTTGTGTCAAGGCTGGTGGGGAGAAGCCAGATCTAGTAGCCCTTAAGGGAAGGGTGTGCACTTTCCTGTGGTACGAATGCAAAGGCAGGATGTTGCTATGTTTAGCTTGGGTTCCTCTTGGCAATAAAATATTTTCCATAAAACAACTTCCATAAAATCCAGGTGGATCTTTGAAATCCCATCCAGAATACTTTGATTCCAATGAAAAGCACAGTGAAAAATCTGTGTAGCATGTGGGCAACAGATGACATGAAAGTACATAAAGCTCTGGAAATCAATTGGTTTGGGTAGCAAGAGGCAACCCTGCAATTAACAAGTCAGTAAAACGATAACCTGTAAAATAGTAATGCTGTCACCTCTTATTAAGTCCCTGAGTACTTTTATTTCATCTGTCTACAGTGCCTACACTTCAAAAAGGATAACTGGTGGTGGGAGAGATCTGGAAATATTTAGAAAATGTTTATGAGGCTAATTCAGGAAAATGTATGTAGCAAAATTCATGTTTAGTTGGCTCATCTGAAAGATGATTAGTGTGCTATGAGAGTCTACAAAGCACTGAGTCTACTGCTAGATGGCTCTCCAACATAAAAAATTCTGATACACAGTCTCTGGCACCTGAAGTGAGACAAAAATCTGACTAAAAATTGAGTTCCAGCTCCCAACAGTAGTATAATTGGTTAATGGGATGACTAATTGCAGGGAAGGCATGAGGTCTCTGTGACTTAAATTTTGATTAAAAACCTGGCACTCATTCTCAAAATGCTTTATATCCCAAAGATGAGTTCTGGACTGGATGTAGAAATTTCAACAGAAGTTTTAGGTCTGCTCTGTAGAGGGCGAACTTCAGCCTCTGAAATAAGAAGAGCAACTTCTCAATTGGTAAAAAGTACGGTGTGGACCACTTAGTAGGAATAAGGGATTTTGTTATGCAACACAAATGAAGCTGAGGCTGGATAAATGACCTTTTGCACAG